ATTTTCCCCCCGTTTAAAAAAAAAAAAAAAAAAAAAAAAAAAAAGGATAAGAGGAAGATTATAATAAAAATTATTACACATAATTGACAGAAACATTGATTTATTACTTTAATCTTATATTTTATATTATCTCATTTTTAAACATAACATTTTAACATAACATTATCATAAATATGTTATTACAAACAGCTTTGGCAATGAAGTTATCTTAAATATAACATCTTTTGTCATAAATGTCTTTAATCACAAACAGGTTTGGCGATGTAATTATCCTTCTTTTAAACATAACATCTTTCATCACATCTTTTTTGCAACTTATTTTTATAAGTATTTAATTGGAGACTCCTTAGATCTTATACATACACGCGCACGCGCGCACGCACGCACGCACGCACGCCCGTGTGTATGTATGCTACTATATGCACACACACACACACACACACACGCGCGCGCGCACGCACGCACGCACACGATATTTTATATATATATGCATCAATAATTTACTAAATAAAATGTATGTAAAAGACAGAGCTGTGCAATTAAAATAATTATCTTCATTTGTATTCATATGTAAATAATATGGTACGTTTCTTGTTTATGGAGAATTTATTCCAACAAAATTGAAATAACTAATATCATATTTATTTTATTATAATTTTTCCTCTCAAAAGAAAAATCTTTGATCAGAATACGTAAGAACGTTTATTGATATGGGTCTGTGTAGGTCGATAATTCAGATCATTTCTATGATTCAGCAAACAACGCACTTTTCTTGACAGCGCCGCTATCGGAATATTGCGAAACTAAAATATTGCTTGGTTTCATAGCTTCATGTCAATTTCACTCGTAATATATAATACAAAAATACCAAATTTTCGGAGACTCTTTTCTCTCATACTAAAGCCTCTACTTCATTTCTAAAAGCATAGGATTGTTCTTTCAGGTTTTCTGCAATTCGCCAGCTACTTTTTATGAACAAGGTCTGAAACTTTTATGCAGCACATATTGTGACGTGTTGACTACAGAATACCGATAACAAAACTGTAAGTTATCAATTTTCTTTCGTTTTTCGTATTCAATTGTAACGGGCGAATTGCGTCGTTGTCAATACTTTAATTGTGCAAAAGGATTTTTCAATCCATAAACACAATTAAGAGAAAAGAGTCTTTAATAATTAATAATTAATAATTAATGGTAAAACAAAACACTCCAGCATCCCCTTGAGTGTTGCAATTCTAATTGTGAATTTCATTTAAATGATTTTTTTTCATACTTATATTGTCTTCATGTTTTTGTTTAATATGCTAATTATTGATCTTGTTCCATTATTCGTTTTATGCGTTTCATATGTAATGTTTCTTCTGTGTTTGACAATTTGGTTTCCCTTTTTCGTTTTAAAGAACGTATTTGTTTTAATTTTTCATTATCCAATACGTTAGATAGTTATTCTTTGTGCATATTTGTTTGTTGTTTTTCTCTACTATACAAAGTTGTTAATGTATCATCCTTCTTCGTAGAAGACGAACTAAATACGCGCGCGCGCGTGTGTGTGTGTAAAAACTCTCTCTCTCTTTCTCTCTCTCTCTCTCTCTCTTTGAGTGAAATATGACTCGAAGAGAAAAAATTGAATCAGTCTTGAAAAAAGAGTAAAAATACTACCATTCTTGTTTAAAAGTGGCAGATTTTCATTCTTTTGGAATGAGACATCATTCTTTTACAGTGAGATATTACTTCAAAAGAATAATGTCTCATTCATTGAAAATACAAATCTTTCTTATACAAGAATGGTAGTATTTTCACTCTTTTTTCGAAGACTGCTTCAATTTTCAATCTCTTCGAGTCAGATTTCACTTCATGAGATTTAGAGATCACACACTTCACACAAACACAATATATAATATACAACACAATATACAATACACATAAATATAAGTAATAATAAGTACTTTGCACAGTTTCTATTGTGTGTATTTATACAATCTTCATTATCCGAATCCAATTCTATATTTTGATTATCACCGATAGCTATTAGCTTAAGTCTCAATTAACTAAAATATATTTATTATATAAATAATACAATTATATTAAGATTATAAAAAGCTCAGTATATAAAATTGTCATTGCACACCGTTGATTTCTGTGTCAGACGTATTTGATAAATGAAACAGGTGCTGTTTCATAAGATGTAGTGCTATATGGTATTGGAACTTGTACTTGTGGTGGTCCCCTACCAGTTGCCCCTCACCAGTCCCCCTAAATATGATTGCTTTTCTTTTGTTAATAATTCTCTCTAAGATTATTTTAAATTAGTCCATAACTTCTTTAATTGAGTAACAGTCCTCTGTTATAATCAAATTTTACAATCTTTTATATACATTTATATATACATTTTTTTTACCTCTTGAGAAATTAAGACAGATTGATTATATTTATTGTATATTTCATTCCATGTCAAGTCTTTATCTTTTAGCGCTGTATTATCGTTGTATATTTTTTTTAATTTCAATTATATGTTTGTAGTCGTTGAGTATTTGCAAAAATACTTTACGTTCTAAACTCGTGTAATGCTTGTTTTTACTGGGGAGGTTAGATTTCTCCTTGTATGACATTCTATATAAAATTATATTTTTATTAATAATTTTTTATAGATAAAGAAGTATTACACAACAGAATTATATTTTAATAATATTTTACTTACTTGATTATTTAAAATAAAATATATTATCATAATTCTTGGTTTAGAACTTGGTTTAGAACAGCATCAAAGAACATGAACAGCACTTTGCTTCATTTGTTTGTTAAGTTAGGTAGGCAGGAGTGTTAGTGCATATGTGTAACCATAGAGAGCATGGGTTATACATGAGTTACACATAAAATTATACTTTATAAAACTATTAACTTTACCTTGAATTCAGTGTTCCTATTGAAGGGACTAATGGAAACAGCCGAATTAAAAATAAGCATGGTTTTAAATACGTCTTCGCCAAGTCGATCTCAAATCAAATAAGATTTATTTAAGCAAAATCTTCTTCATGAAGATCGTCTTATTTTGTAATTATATCATTTCAAGATGATCTTGATCAAGATGATCTTGATCTTGAAGCGTTGTCTTGAGCTTGACTATAAATACGGGCCTAAGACAGTTTTAATATAAAAAGACTACTATCCCACGTTTCGCGTTTCACAATTGGCAGCCTTTGAATCTTATGCGACATTCATAGACAGAAACGGCGGAGATTTAGAGAGAGATGCTTGCAAAGTGAGCACACCATATTATATCCCTTCCACCATGGACGGATCTCAGTCTTAATATTGTCATCGAGATTGGACAGTCCACGACAGCAGTCAAAGTCAGTCGTTCCCGTTGCAATAATCGAAATCGGTTTCATTACTATACGACAATTAGTTATATTCGCTGTGTGCGTGTGTATAGCGACTCAAGGTGACGACCTCAGGCGTAGTCGTGTTCGTCGAATATCAAGTAACATCCCCAGGCATTGCCGCACAGCGGCTCAGGATGATTCGCTCTGAACGAATAAATCGCGTGCTATAGACAACGAATGAACACGCATGAGCAACATACAATCCGT